TATTAACAGCTACTTCAAAAACAAACTAAAGCATCCCAGGTGACTAGACCAAATGAACAATGTTGCTTCTTACATGAAACAAAGAGCAGGAGCAGGTCAGCAACATCCACATAAAAAAAAAGGCATTTTAAATGTGTTTCAATTAAAAAAGACAGAAGAGTATAACAGCCATATGGAAGTGCTTCCTAATTTCATCAAGGAACTCCACCTCTGCTAATATTTTTTGGCTTTGGTGAACTCAATAATAGCTTTTCAATAATCTGATTCACCTGAAAACTTCACCAGTTTGATCAACAGCAGTGTCACAAACCCAGTAAAATTACAGCACTATCCAATAGTTTGGGACCCCACACCCTTTCCATATGCCTTTGATATTCAAGAGCTAACAGAGACCATCAGACTGACTTCCTAACCCCATGACTGTCTCGATTTCTACCACAGAATTTTGTTTATTAGATTGCAAGATAATGCATCATAGAGACCACATAGAGCTCTAGTGAAGGGGCATTTAAACAGTCATTGGCACTTGTACCAGGCTGGAGGTCATTCACTGAATGGTAAACATGCCACTGTTTCACAGAATAACTTTCAATCCTTAGTGTCAGATAAAGTGGAACATAAAGGAAGAAGTTCAAGCCCCAGGCATTTAAAAGGAATGTGGTGATACAATCCTTTCAGAGGTAAACCGTTTCCAGTCAGTAACATTTCCAAGAGAAGACAAACAGTAAAGCAAGACACAATCAAGCTTGCAGAATGATGGAAGAGCATCCACAGCTTATTGTTGCCTCCTCTTGTTCTCTTTGCTTTAAATTCAATGCAGAATTTTATAGTCCCTTTGAACAAAGAGACAACTATATATTTTCCCCATAATTCTTTGTCTTTGTCCTATTTGTTGTTGCTCTGTCTCTCATGGCATAAAGATGACCTTGCTTCAGTGAGATGAAGATAGCCCCCCACTTCTCAGCAAACCAAGCAAACCAAGTCTTAACCACTAGCTGTCAATACAGCGTAGTTCAGGAGAGCATTTGACTTGGAGCATGGAGAAGCGGGAACTGGGAAACAAACTCTCACTGACAGCAAGGAACAGAAAAGAGCAGAAGGACCAGATTTGCTGCTTCTTTGCCGCCCCTGCACCTCAACAAGGCTAGACACACATATCAGAAGCTGTTGGATTATAAACTGAGGCAGATATCTCCTTCTGCATCACTCCACTTGATAAAACCAATAATGAGCAGCACTTTAAGGACTGTGCAAGGCCAATCATTAATCACATCCAGAGATGAGTGAAAATCCAGGCCATATTATGAAAGGCAATGTAAAACATTCCCTGTGAGAAAATACAGCTTAGCAAACTGGCACTCTCCTCTTCTCAAAATCTCAAGTGGTATTCAGGGGCAACCTTATTAGAGGATGCTGCAGTACTTCCACTGTTAAGCAGTCACAAGCACAGCACACTCAGCTCCTGAAGTTCATGGTATTAAAATAATAAATTAAAACCACTTGTCTCTCTGCAGAAGTGCCTGCAGCACAGTCTGGGACAAGCAGCAGGAGGCAATGACAGTGCAAGAAAAGGGGATAAACAGCGGGAAGGAAATGTCGAGCCTATCAAAGGATGCTCCAGAACAAACAAAGCTATTCTTGTCATGAATTCAAGGGCCATAGTGTGACATCATGATGAGCCTTCTACAACAGCTTCACCCTGTGAAGTGTCTGCCTGACCCCTTCCCCACAGCGTACAAGACTCTATGGTGGACTTCTGTGAACCTTTTAACGGTTTCATTTCATGAGGAAAAGAAAATATACTTGTTTCAGCACGCAAGACACAAATTTAGAGCTCAATCCCACTTTAAATTCTACCTCATTACACATTCTGAACTACATTAAGCAAATCAACACAGCTCAAAAGCTCACAGCACAGCGTTCTGACTGTAGCATGGTGATTTTCAACAGTGCTCCAGCTGTTTGACTGAATAATGTTTGAAATCCCTGAGCATACTAGTTAGCACAGCAGTTCTCAAATATCCACTACTTGGACTTCAATCAGGTGCTATATAGGGAGACGTACAATCTAAGAACGCGCTCTAACTACACTGCCTAAAATTACCAAAGCACACTGGCCCTGAAATTCCAATGCAGGTACCTAATGTTGTGTTTCAAAACCTATGTTTTATTCTATTCAGTATAAATATAATTTATGAACACCTTCAAAGAAGAGAAACAAAGTTAATAATCTCCAAAAATAGCTGACAAATCTTTCACAAGCTCCCCACCATAATGTACCACTATGTTTACATAGGGCTTTTAGAAAGCAAGCAGAAACATTATATACATTGCCATACATCATATTATTTATAGTATTTTTAGGAAAGGGGCAAGGTCGATAGTGCTCCAATGGCCTCACAAGGGTTTATTTTGTAAGCTCACATCTAGCCTCTAAGCAGTGCCATGTTCTACATTGATTAGCTTTACATTATTTGGGCCTTTAAATATGTATCCCATTGAAGCAAACAGATGGAGGAACTACTGGTAGGTACTTCCTCCAGAAGAAATCAGGAGGCTTATTTTACCTACCCAATTTTGAAAATCTTATTTCTGAATTTGGCTAGGGGGATACCACAGTTTAAACTGTGGAATTGCCAAATAAATCTGCTCAGCCTTGAATACTTTGAGCAGGCTAAGCCAATAGGTTATTTTCGTAATGAATGTAATGACGACAAGGATCCAGATACAACATCACTGTGTATTTCATAGGCACAACATCCTGTATAACCAACTGATTTGTACACATGTATCAGACATTTCTTTGGAAGAAGTGGGCTTCTTTACCTCCAGCTGAAGCCTCTGGTGTGAGAGGGCTGAGGGTCACCAGAAAACTGTGAACAAACATCCCAGATCTTCAAATCCAACCAGACATAACCAAAGAGAAAAAACAAACAAACAAACAAAAACCCAAAACAAAACAAAAACACACACAAAAAAACCAACCAGACAGGCAACTCCTGGAAACTAAGAACATCTGGTAGCCCTAACATTATACAACATCTATCAATAGCAACTATCTTAGAATGTAAACAACGATGCCTATAATTCCACAGGGATAAATTCATAGAATGATGTTAAGGGGTTGAAATGGACCTTAAAAATTATCTAGTCCCAATCCCCCTGCCATGGGCAGGGGCACCTCCCACTAGACCATGTTGCTCAAGGCCTTATCCAACCTGGCTTTGAACACTGCCAGGGTTGGGGCATCCACAACCTTCCTGGGCAATCTGTTGCAATGTGTCACCACCCTCATAGCAAAGAATTTATTCCTGAAATCCAACCAAAATTTCCCCTCTTTCAATCTGTACCCATTACTGCCTGTTCTATCACTACAGTTCCTAACAAAGAGTCACACTTCAACTTCCCTGTAGGCCCCATTCAGATACTGGAAAGTTGTTATGAGGTCGCCATACAACCTTCTCTTCTCCAGCCTGAACAGCCCCAACTTTATCAGCCTGTCTTCATAAGTGAGGTTATCCAATTCTCTTATCAACTTTGTAGCTTTACATTCTTAAGGAACCTTTTTGTCTTGCCTTATTACATACTTAGCAAGCACTTATTCCTCATTTCAAACAAGAGGACATCACATTGCAATGAATCAAAATGAACCCATTAAAATCTCACCTCCATATTCATTCCCTCTTTCCATCCAAAGCAACAGTGCATCTCAAAATACACATGCACGCAGTATCAAATATACATTTCTGGCAGGAATACATTGAGTACAGCTCTGTTACTGGCTTTGAACATATCCTGAAGAAGTTTTTAAGAATCAGAGAAAAATATGATTTAAAAAACATACTGGGATGAGTTTAAACATGCTCTTAAACTGCCAGCTATAAAAATGTATTGAATTGTTAAAAGTGTACATCCTGTTAAACTCTGCCTTTCCTACAGATCTTACTAGTAAATAACAACATACACCTCACTGTGGCAGCTGGTCTGTGTGCCAGAACAGAGCAGAAAAGAGCAGTGTAAGTTAGAATTCAGCTGCTATGCCCAAATGATTTTTAAGCAGCTTTAAAATCATGTTATAGAAAGATAAAAATATTTACTATTTATAATGCTATCATTGAATAACAAATTGGCCCCTACTGAATTAGACACTGCAAACACATAGTGAAGAAGAGGTGCCTATTCCAAACAGCATACGAGCCACTTAGATAGTCAGTGCTTGTTTCGTGTGCTCCATGCTTTAGACAGGTAAGGATGTTAATTATATATATTAATAAGGATCACCTCTCAGGTCTCAAAAATAGTACCAAAAGCAGAGCACTGGAGGACAGCTTGGGAAAACCAAAGAAAACCCCCAAAGCGTTGCTGTGCGGAAGAGGCAAGCGGGGCACACAGGTGTCTCCGGGACAGAGCACACAGGCAGGGCCAGGGAGCCAAGGGCACGTGGAGAAAGCCAGGCCAGCAGACAAACAGGAGATAAGACAGGATTCACCGGGGCGCTCTGCCCCGCCGAGCCGAGAGAAACGGCGGCGAGCAAGCGGGAGGGAACGACTGAACTCGGAGGGGCTGGGGGGCTTTAAACACAAATCTTTAACTCCAGCGGGGGTTGGGGGCTTTAAACACAAATCTCTGATTCCAACACGGTAACAAATTGCTGTATTGAAAAGAAAGCAGCCTAAGCAGGGCAGGGCAGGGCAGAGACACCACGGTGCTTGCGGGCAGAGACACCACGGTGCTTGCACACCGAGCACACACCGAGGGGGCGGCAGAGGCGGCACCCGGCCGGAGCCGGGGTGGGGGGCAGAGGCAGGACGGGAGGCAGAGCCGGAACAGGAGGCACACCCCGACTGAGAAGCACAGCCCAGGCAGCAGTGGAGGGAGGCACAGGCTGGGTGGGGCACAGCGCAGCCCCCACCCCGCCCAGCCCCGGTAGCACCGCCCGCCACCGGGGCCGCCCCGCCCCTCGCTCGCCCCCCGGTGCTGGCGGGGCGGGAGTACCGTACCGGCGGGCAGGAGGCATTCCAGCGGCGTTGAACGCGTGCCTCCATGGCCCCGGGGCGCGGGAAGGCACACAGTAAAGGCACGGAGAGCGAGGCGGGCCGGGCTGGGGCGCACGGGGAGTGCGGTGCCCCGTCCCGGTGTCCCGAGGAGCGCCTGAAGCCACGCGGCTGCGCCCGCCCTTGCAGGCGGTAGGCGGCGCCCGGGGACGTGGCGGCGGCGCTGCCCGGTACCTGCGGCCGCGCGTCTCTCCTACATCCCCTGCAGCGGGATCGGGATTGGGATGGTGCGTGTGACGGAAGGGGTGGTTGGAAAGGCAAGCCGAGAGAATCGATCGTCGCCGCGATCGTTACTCGGCGGTGGATTCAGCGGCGGTTGCGGAGAAGGCGCTAACCCCGCCCCTCGTGATTGGCAGCGCGGCGGCCTATGGGAGCCTCCGCTGAGAGGGCGGGGTTAGCGCCTGTGCGCGCGCGAGCGGGGGAGAGGGAATAGAAAGGAGCGAAGGAGTGAGAGGGAGAATAAAGGGGAGGGCAGGAGCGGTGGGAGAGAGGGAGAACCCGCCCTCCCTGGGCACCGGACTGGTGCCGACCTCAGTAAAGCCGCGCTTGAGGAGGCCGTGAGGTGCAGCTACACGGCGGACACCCGTGGTGCTCTGCTGACTGTTCACTCGGAATAAAAGCCCTCCCAACAGCTCTTTGCCCCTGGAAACTGAATGAAAACAAGGACTGTGCCCTGACTCGTCAGCCCCTCGTGTGCAGCCCGTGTGCGGCCGCCATCCCACGGCGCCGGCTGTGCTCGGGATGCGGGAAAAGCCGTGCCGGGTGTCAGCCTGGCTTGCTGTGCCTTTGCTGTCCCCGCGGGTGGGGGCTCCGCCACCTGCCTCCGCACCGCGCTGGTGCCGCCTCTGTGCCCTTGTCTCCGAGGCCTCGCAGAGTAATGCGGCATTTGTAGGTGCAGCTTAAGTTTCAATTAAAGTTATTTAGGTGTTATCACAAAACTTGTTAAGTACGTAGTTTCTGCTAACTTACGCACTCTTAACCGCGACGTTAATCACCTTTACCTAAAAAATGGACAGCACCTGCTAAATTTAAGTTTGCTCTGGAAGCGCGGGGGTCAAGTTTTGATCCCCCAGGGCGTGTCTGTAATGTGTCTCCACCTCTTGGGCCAGCCTTTTTCCCTGTAGGTACCCCTGTCCCATCCATCAGAGACAGGGGCGGCCATCTCCTCGTACCAAGCGTTCCCAGCGGCGCTCCCCTCGCCTGAAAGCACGGAGCTGTCCCTGGACCGCCGCTTTCCCAGGCGCTCGGAGGGAGCGGAGCGGGGCCCCGCAGCAGAGGGCGGCAGAGGAGCGCCTCTCCCTCCCTCCTTTACTCTCTCCCGTTGTCTCCCCTTGCCGTCCCTCCCTCCGCTGTCCCGGCAGCAGGCACCGAGCGGCCGAGAGGGTCCGCCGAGCCCCGCACGGAGCCGCCGCGTCGCCTTCTCGATCGTGCCCTGCACCCAGACATCCTGGGGCCGGACTGGGCGAGAGGCGAGGTCTCGTTCTAGGGTCGTTTGGATAAAGACAGAGCGAGTTGCGTCAGTGGTCGGGCTCGATGACCTCCGGAGTCTTTCCCAGCCTAATGCTTCTATGATTCTCTGTCAGGGTTTCCCGTCAAACGGGAGGGAAGTGGGACCAACACGTCAGCTACTCAGTCCATGCTGTTAGTCTGAGATTCACACTCAGGTCAACATGATTTAAGTGACTTCAGTGTTGGGTGAGGCTGGACCACATGTTTAGGACAAGGCGAATGGCTTCAAACTGCAAGAGGGCAGGTTTAGATTGGATATTAGGAAGAAATTCTCTACTGTGGGGTGGTGACGCTCTGAAACAGGTTGCCCAGAGAAGCTGTAGATGCCTCATCCCTGGGATGAGGCCAGGTTGGATGGGACTCTGAGCAACCTGGTCTAGTGGAAGGTGTCCCTGCCCATAGCATGGGGGTTGAAATGATCTAAATGACCTTTAAGGTCCCTTCTAATCCAAACCATTCCATGATTCTATGATTACCCCAATGACTGGAGGTGCTCCTTTGATTTGGATGCTTCAAGCACTAAACCTTTGCTTTGGACCTTTCACATAAGCTACCCTGCCACCTATAAGAGATTACAGTTTTAGGCCACAAAGACTGATAGAAATTCAGGAGCGTTGGAAGCATTTGTACTTGCCAATGAGAGAAACGAGATTATTGGGGAACAAGGAAAAGATATTGAAGACATCGAAAGATTACTGTTGTTTACACTATAGAAATAGAAAATGCTTTTTTTCACTTTTGTGTCATTTAAAAGTTTTCTGCTCTCTCCATGGAGAATGTGAATTTCAAAGGCTTTTAGGAGCCTGGTATCATCTCAGCATCTCATTCTTCAAGCAGGTTAAGAACAGCCAGCATTAGGAAGAAGCAGCTTGCTGTCCCTCCCAAGAAAGGAGACCATGTGGGAACGGCCATGCAATTGGCCTGTGGTCTCCTACTCTTAATTATCTATTTTTCTACTCTGTCTCCCCATTCCTCTTCTTTTCAATTTTGACAAGCACTTTCCTATTGCCTGGTAAAATTATCAGACCTTCTCCGGGATAGCTTATTTTTCTTCTTCAGTATCTGTCAGTGTCTCTGTAATTATTTTTTTAATTTGTGCTTGAGGAGTACCATCTGGTACAAATAGTTGCTGATAAACAGCTTCTTATGCATGAGAATAGCCACACTTGCTCAGAGGGAAGGTCCATCTCATTCAGGTACCAGTTCCCAGTAGTGTTCAGTTACTAGTGTTCTTCCTCCTGTTTTCCATTTCTCCATTCTCTTCATATCCACAAGGTGCTTTTCCCATCTCTGTCACATCTGGGCTTCCAGGCAATCCTTTGCCAGCCACTGCTGCAAAAAAGCAATTGTACCTCTCTCTGCTAATCACACTAATGCATGATTCATCACAACAGTAGCATTGCAAAGAGAAATCAGTTTTGAGAGAACAGGCTGATACTGGTATTCTTTAAATCCTTTCAAGATGTGCAAGAGTCTGCAAGGTAAGGCAAACTACCAGCCCACTGTAAAACTAGAAAAGAGGAAAACAAGTCAGATGTGCTTTCTATCCCTGAACTCTGGCTTGCTTTCACTGGTCTTTCCTTCAGATACAAACCTCTCATCCACAGTATAAAGCTCTTTTTAAGAGTCAACTCCACAGGAATAGTTTCAGTCAATGCTAAAGTGCACTGATCTCTAAGGCAGGACCTGACAACTATTTAATACTGTTTATCAGAGCCTAACAAAGGTATCTAGTAGAGGAAGTTTCAGAGAGCGAAATGAATAACTCTGCACAGACTGGCATGTTCTCTTATGGATAGTCCCTTAAGGACAATGAGCAGTCAGCAGGCTGATTTACTTTTTCGAAAAATAAGCACTTTCACCTACTTTTTGCACTTTACATCTGTGCTAGGACATCCATTGAATTTTCCTGTGAAGGGCTACCATTTAATGAACTAGTGTTTTTTTCTTGTCACACATGGGAAATTCCTCAAAAAATATTACACCTGTTTTTCCAGGTAATGTATGAGATTCAGCAATATATTTTTTCCTTTAGCTGGATCTCAGACCAAACCTTCTCCCCTGTTCTTTTCTTCTGGTTGTATATGCCTACATTACTTTGCAAGATTTGCAGATGAACACAGAGAGAGGCTATGCAGGAAAGACATCCTCGGAGCACTGATACTGTACTTTGATTACTACTGTCTCCTCTGATTAGTTAAAAGGAGGGCAGGTGACCTCAACCCTAAGTGAGAGAGTAAACAGGCAAGCAAATGTAGTTCCTGAGCCAGTCATGCCTCTCACCTGAGATATTATCCCTTAAAGTTTTTACAGACTTGATGACTGCTCTGCATAAAGAGAAACCACAATGTATGTGTATTATTATATACATTTATACATGTAAAAAATCCTTCTTAGCAGACTCCATATAGCTTCCTCTTCTTTAGGAAAACTATTCAGAGGAGCAGTCAATTGGGTAGCTTCTGTGGAGAACAGTTATGACTAGCACTGCACTTCAAGACCATTAAAACTGATCAGATGGGAAGAGTTGAAGGGTGATTAGGAGGACACCAGCTTTTACTTACTCATAACATCTCCCAGGACTCAACAAGGAAAGAGGAGGAAAGTCAAAATGAATTGCAAGGGGATTTATACAAGAGGGCTAAAGCCTGCAGCGTTTGCTTTGCTTCTTTAAGATGATCAGTCTCTGCATATGTGGATATGCTGCTGAGGCTAATTTATTGCAGCATTAGTTGCTTTCAGAATTTTTTTCCTTCTTTCAAATAGGCCAATCTAGTTGAGACTGAAAGGTTTAAAGGTATTTAAGGATTTTTGTCCAACAAAAAGATAAGGCCTGTCTCTAGCATTCATGACATAATGTCTCTTTCCCAGATGAAAGTCAAATAGGTCTGGTAATGCCAGACTTCATAATTTAATGCTTTATTTTTTTCCCTTCCCTTCTTCATTGTTCACCAAAACAGGAATCATATCTCTGTGCTTGAGTTGGAAGTACTTTTTGTTCTGTTCAAAAGCTATGGCAGATTGGAAAGCATGTAGACTCAAAACTACCGAAATACCTTCAGAGGTCCCTATTGGTGATGTCTGAAACAAGCTGCTTGTAAAGCAGGGGGCATTTGTTCTTCCAGCTACTCCAATTTTATTGCTAAAATAGAACAGTCTGTACAAGGCTGGCATTCAGGATTCAAGCAACATGTAAATGTCAAAAATATTTTCTCCTTCTCTCCACAGCTTATCTTTATACTAAAATGAATCCAGAGTTAAAACTAGCGTGCTGGGATGGTTCATTCTGTTATCTATCCCAGTATTTATGCAGAATAATAAGTTTGAGAATGTTTAGCTAGCTCAGCTGTCTGATTGTCTGTACATCCCTAAGTGCTTTATAATTCAAAAAACACAGGCATCAGTAGATAAATGGGATGCTTTATTATAGACATTATATCCTTGCAATTCTCCTGTGCCAACAATTTAAGTCCTCA